CTAATACCAGAATACACTTATTATTCAAGAGTTCACTGCTCTACAACTTTTTTTAGTATACTGAATATTTAAACCAAATAAAATTGTATTTCTGCTGTTGAAGGAAACATTACTCTTCCACAGCAATTTTTTTTTTTTTCCACAAATACTTACAAATTAAATTTCAATAATCCATCAGGACATAGCTTGCTCAAGCTCCTATATTAGCGCAATTCAATCCTCAAATTTCATAAAAATTGCAATACACAAAGATTCATCTGCCCTGAATTATGGTAAATATCTCAATTCATTTTTGAGAATTTATATTATTTTACCCTTACTAGTTTCTCAATGATTGGAGAAGAGAAAGTTCACCTATTAACAAAGGCGTAATTGACCATGCATATAATGTGTTATTGCTTTATTTCGCCATCAACAAAGGTTTGGAAATTTGTAAAACAATTGAAGTTTTTTCAAGACAATTGCGTTGGCTTGATAAAATTCCTTTTACTCTTCATGGCCTTAAAAGAGTTTGTAACTTTTTCCCCAAAATCTTTTCATTGCTAAATTATATAATTTTGATATACAAAATAGAATACACATATTACAAGAAATTGAACACCAACTTCACGTTAGGCACTTATGGAATAAAATGAATTAATGTAATTCACACTACTCTACCATTTCTTTTGAAATCCTCCCTTATTTCACCCAAATTCAACAAGTCCAATTTTACTTAATGTTTCTATTATTGAAAAGCATACCATACCCACTGTACATTTTATCATCTGAAAGGCCCAGTAGTCCACCTGCCTTATCGAAGATACTTGCAACAACTTCATCAAACCAACGTTTAAGGCTTGCTGTTGATTAATTTGAATCTCCGTAAACAAGTCGACCGTAACTCTTTCCCAACAAGCATCAATGTCCCATTTGTGTGGATATAATGGCGGTATTGTCTGCTTCACCTAAAAAAAATAAAAAAGCGGTTCAAATCACTCTTGACTTTAGTCTCCTCAAGTAATTTTCAAATTCAATACATCATCATTATTTAAGATGTGGCAATAATTATAACCCAATCACTATGGGAGATTAATGATTTGATATACCAAAACATGAGCCCATGATTCAAAGCTTGCATAACAAATTATTGATATTCATAAGAAGAAAAGAGAAAGAATTCTTCAAAAGAAAATCCCTCCTATGAAGTCCCTCACATGCAAAAGATGAAAACTGAAACAAATGCAGAGAGCAAAAGAGAATACAATGATAATTCCAATCCCATGTTCCAATCAATTAACTTATATTTCTCTTTCCAATCAGAACTCTAATTGAAGATGTATTGACAGTAACACTTTTCTTGGAAGATCTGATTTTGATAATAAATAAATCAAGAGCATTACGTCTAAAATTTTAAAGTGACGCTTTCTTTTGAAAAATACAATTTAAGACTGTATATCAATTTTATATAATTATGAAAAATATGGTATATTATGTAAATCTAATTATTCAATTTAAATACAATTAAATTAATATGAATTGATATTATTTTCAAGATACTGACTATATTCTGATTTCCATAAACATAGTAATCATGTCTCTGGACCAACTTCAAGTTCAATAATACATATAAAGCTTGGAGAACAATTCCTGTCATTGGAATATTTTAAATAAAATTGGATTACTTCAAAAATGTATGTTAAACAAAGCATAACGCTAACAGTCTTTATAATGAACATACCTCTGAACTGTTAAAGCTCGTGCAAGTGCTGTAAAGGATCTCTCTTGACTTTCTTCAGCAACCTTGGTGTGAAGAATTGCTGCCACACATCACTCACATTATCTGCCAGTGATTCCACTACAATGAGGGAGGTCCTCTCTTTCACGCCAAGACATGAGTGGATGTATCACAACAAGAATAGTAAGCTGAATCAACCATAATATATCAAGTAACTAGTTTAAAGAATTGAATCAAAAAGTATCAATGGTCATTATATTATTATTATTATTTTAATTACAACTTGGTAAATATAGTAATTCTCACATTTTTGCTTGATCCAGGTGACTATGGGAAACTTGGTCACGGAAATTGTACAACACAGAAGCAACCACGACTTATTGGTGGGATTCTATCTGGGAAAATGGTGAAATATATTCACGCTGGTTATCGACACAGTGCTGCCATCACTGATGAAGGAGAATTGTATACATGGGGTGAAGGTGATCATGGACGTCTAGGTGAGTACGTTAAGTGTTTGGATAATTCTCTTTCAACGTATTACTTCATTCTAAAAATTCTTTATAAAGACTGTATGACATTGTGTTGTGAAAAGGAAGAAAGAAACAAAGTATTTAAGATGTCATATACTTAAAGAAAATTTTTCTGTTCATAAATCATATAAATAGTTTATATATTGGTGTGAAATATATACTTATTGTAAATATGTACTTATATATATATAATACTTGTAAATATGTACTTATTTTGTAATTTTGTTTTTTATTTTCCTGTTCTCTCTTTTTGTTATTCTTCCCTCTTGTTTTCATTTCATCATCATCACCCTCGGTTTAGGAGCGGTGCTCCTGCCCTGTTAGTGGATAGTTTCATTTTAAAATGTATATTTTCAATTCACTGAAATTTCTTAATACTAGAATGCCTGAATGTTGGGATTATCCAGGACACCCATGGACTGTCGTTCTTACAGCTTATGTATTTCAAAGGCTAATGTGCAATTGGAGGATTTTGAACATGCACAGAAACTACATAATCTTCAATAAACATCTTCGTGACTCGTTCTACTAATTGCAGTAATGCACACTCTCCAAAACAATAGTACTAAATTAAGGTTGAAACTCCAGAGAATAAAATTTACAGAAGTTCATTAAAGGCATCCCCTTCAAAAACTTGTCACTTGCAAACATGCAGCACATGTCACACACTCTATTTTAGTTTTTTTACTCCAGCACCCACGGCAACCATGGTTTCTTTTCATTCATATTTAAAATGGGCATAGTTTGATGTTGTGATCTTTTTCAGTTTTATATGAATAAAAATGAGAATTCCTCTGAACATCAAGGCCCTGAGATTTATTGCTTCTAAAATCAAATAGGTTTGAAAAATAATTGTATTGTTGCCTAACAACCATATTTAACATCATGTAGCCTTACCGTCAGAACTAGGATATTTGCAGTGAATTTTATGGTACAGTAAAGTTTTAGAATGCTTTTCCTAGAGAATGGTATCAATGGTTACATTTCATTGTTGATGATCATCAGATCATTTTTTTAGTGTGTGTGATGCCTACAGATCTTAATGTTCAATCACAAGTCAAAGTTTCGAATTATCATCAAAAGTGTTGTGAAATCAATTGAGAATTTATTCATTGTGTAAGCCACCCAGATGTAAAGCATGGAATAAAACTTGAAACCGGCTTGTGGCTCAGAGTGAAGTCACTTACCTTTCACTGAGGACATTTGGGTTTGATTCCGGGACAATCTCATGTGAAACTTCTTCTGATACGAGTTTGGCTGCTTCACAAAGGCTAGTCCAATCCCCTGTGAAGTGTCCTAAACCCTACCACTTTCCTAATTCCTTCCCAGTTCTGGCTGCTGGGTAGTGATGCACGAGCATGTAAGAGAGGCACGTAAGTGGAGATGGTACTTGGCAGTCCTCTTGACAACTGACTTTGAGGAGACTGGACAGTACACCAATATAATAATAAATGCTTATGGAGGCTTACTCCGTAAGAAAAAAGCAAAAGCTCAATGCCCTTCTAGAGGATTGGAGATGTATTTAGTCACAGATGCAACAAAATAAAAAAAAACACTTCACTAAAATAAATAAAAGATATGTGTGATGCAATATAAATAAAAGCTACAAGACAGGATACATTTGGACTTCTTACTTGTCTGATGTGTGTCATCACAAGATGACTTAAAGATATAATGCTCATTTCACTGCTCTGACTCTGAATATCAACACTTCGGATGAGTCAAAAGCCAAAGGAAATGCTTTTCAACATCAACAACTTGTATGATTTTTCAAGAGGTTAATATGATAATTCAAATGAGAGACCCAGAGAAGCTTGGCTCAGGAGTTATCCCAGCCAACAATTTGATGACTTAGGTATTTAAGATAGTGAATGCAAGTTAGTGAATACCAGTGAGGTTTAACAAACATTTTTGAAATATTCAGTGTCCACTTCATAAAATATTAAAATTTATGTGATTCTAGTGTAAAGTTGTTCCTTGTTTCACATAGCCATCCAATTGATGGTGTTGGGCGTTCTTGTGTTAATGGATTTAGTTCTTAATGTCACAGAAATTGGTTTTGTTTTCATTAATAAGATTTCTATACTTATATATCTACTATTTCAGGTCATGGTGATTATAATGGAAGAAATATGCCCACTTTAGTGCGGGATATTGCTGGTGTAGGTTCTGTTGCATGTGGAAGTGCTCATACCATCGCTGTATCCATAGATGGCAAAACGGTATGGTCATTTGGATCTGGAGACAATGGAAAATTGGGTCATGGGGATACTCACAAGACTGCGAGACCCAAGGTGATAGAAGCATTACAAGGAATGCATATTCACAAGGTTGCTGCTGGAAGCCAATTTTCCCTTGCTCTCACTTCCAATGGACAGGTAAGTATATTCTTAAACTTTTATGCTTACATTTGTTCAAATATTTTAATGTAAAAAAAATTAAAAAATTAATACAATATAACTTAATGAACAAATTTTTTAGGGGACTTAAGGGAAAAAAATATCTATAAGTGAGAAAAACACACAACTGAAAATGAAGATCTAGGCGCAAAATAAAAAGTCAATATCTTGACTATACAATACCCTTAGAAAATAATACGCATATAACGTTATATTCTATGTGGATATAATATTCACATTACATAACATTTACAAGAAAGAAAGTTCTTAGTTTTGAAAAGAGACTGATCTTGAACAATTTGCATTTCTCTGCATCTAAAGCATACTTTTTTCCCTCAACTGCCCTGTACTAATGCATAACAACAGCCCTATAATGATGCATATTAAATGATTCTGGCGTATTTCATAGCAATAGGTCAAATGTTTTACCTTGCAGTTTTGGCAGAGTTGTTCGAGGGGACATTAAAACATTGTACAAAGACTTGGGGCACAAGTGGACACTAGCATCATCTTGCCACCCAGTGGTTTTGCCCACAGTTGCTATCGGTGCTAGTGGTTGGCTGACAGGTCTTGTGTACCAACGAAACTCAGATATGAATTGTGCAACTTTTGTTAAATAATGACCTTGCTTCCGCCTCTCTGGCACAATAAACAGTTGAAGGCAAAAGCTACCAGCAAGCATAGATGACATTCCAAACTCATCATCACTGGTGCGAAACTATTTCTGTTGAAGATGAGAAATTCTGTCCGTGATTTTCTCCAAAAAATCTAAAGAAATGACTGAAGCAGGTGGAGATGCATTACAGGAGGTACTCAAACTCCCGAAAAAGTTGGATCGCATGTTTTTGAGAAAGTTGTAAAGGCATGGCTGATTGTCCAAAGATTGGCATTGCTTCATAAAATCTGGTGGTTGATTTCATAACTAACACTCCCACTCTACCCACATTTCTTAAACCATCATTCAAGAAAAGTTGTGTGAGTAATACCTGAACGCCGAATCAGACACATTCGTTGGGCTCCTCTAAGATCAGGTAATTGTTCACATTCATTAGTCATCTGTGTCATGATGTAGTCAGGATTTGTATTATGAGAGTATAAAAGTGCAAAACGAATAAATTTAAAAGGCTTATCTGAAATAATTTAGCTCAGGAAGAATAGGAATTTAGCTGGGCATCAACATCATCACTAGTTTAGGCATAACAACCTGTTCCATTAGTTATGCAGTATTCCTGGTAGGCAGTCTTCCAGGTGTTCCGGGTGTTGCCACTTCTTTCGTTGTCTTCCGACATCTCTTTTCCCTGCTGGTTTGTATTTCCATATTTTGGCCATCTGTTATTGTTCATTTTTTTAAAGCGATCTTGCCATTTTCTTTGAGAGTTTTCTATTTCCTCTACTGTCTTTAGTTTTTAGTTTCTTTCTAATGTCTTTGTCTCTTAGTCTGTCCCTTCTTGTAACTCTTACAAGGTGTCTCAGAAATCTCATATGTGCTACTTGTATTTTTTGTTTGTTGCCCTCTTTCATTATTCATGTCTCAGAGCCATACACATCTGTAGGTTTAGCCATGGCCTACTCTTCTGAAGGTCGAAGCAAGAGCCTTGCAACTCTCTATCAAAACCAGGGACAAAGCTGGAGGGTGCTAAGATAGGAGGTGCTAGTGTCGCCGGGTGCAGCTGCAGTTAGGATCACCAACTTTCCCACAAACAAATTGACTAATCTGTGTGAATTACGAAAAGTGTCTTCAAAATGTTCAATTATTCATAATATATACGTATAAGAAACCTCTGAAGAAAGCATGAACATCAACTGTATCTTATTGGCCCGCTTGCCAATAAGATACAGTTCTCGCGAACCCACACAGCAGCCAAGCACGTTGTAATTTTCGTTGGCGGCAGTTTGATTTTAGAGTCTGTAAGAAGGTGCTGCAGTAGAGCGTGCCACTGTAATGATTTCCACGAAGTTATATGGGAGTTGAAAGGCCCTGGCCGGAGCACTCAATGTGCCAACGTTGAATCGGCTACACAAGGGGTCCGACACAGTTCAATTAAAACCTATGCATTTTAAACACCGGTTAAAAGCCCTCATTTACCATAATTCTGTAATTTATGAGATAGTTTATGCATTTTATTATTGTATAATGACAGAATACATTACATACATTAAATCAAAGGAGAAAAAGAAACAGTAGATTTTTTTTGTGAAACTTATTGCTTATGACGACAAAGTGCATATTAATCTTACACTTGCTGAGTGAGTACAAGGGTTGAATTATGTTAGTCACACATTCTTGAAACAAAATAATTTATTTAAACAATTGCATAATACATAACTCAGAATAATAACAGGGAGAGGATTTTTATGCCCTAAAAATTCTTGAAATATGCTTTTAAAAATATGCATTTATGAAAAATCTGCCAAATATGCACTGACATATTAATCTACATAGCATCCAATTCTGACCAAATGTCAAGACATTGCACCTGCAGCAATGGACAAAATTGTGCAAAATCATAGAAATCCACTCCCTAATAATAAAAAGCATACATAATGAATCATATGCTATCACTCTATCCACTTTCCATCTATTTAAATTTATTAATTTTCTTTCGTTGTTTCTTGAACCCTTAACAGATGCTAAGAAATCATTCTGTTCTTTGCAGTAATTTTTCAACAAAGTGTTTGAAAAATAAGGAATCATTTTATGAATTGTATCCATCAGAACTGCACCACATTCTGAACAACTCTCTTCCAAGCCATTCATTTCTGCATGGGATTCATTTAGTAGTGTTTTGGACAATTGTACAAGTAAAGAACATTGATTTTTAATTTTAATAAATGCACACTCATATTTCTTCAAAACTAAATGTTCCATTACTTTTGAATCTCATTCATTGAGGCAAAGAGACATCTCTGACCCCCAACAAATGGGATTCAAAATTTTGAAAATGCGGGACATGTACATGAAAGACAAAATCACACTAGACTGCATCCCCAAAGAAAACACTACTTCACCCTATGGAACAATCTAGATCGTAGAACAATCAAAGAGTTAGAAGAAATAAAGGACAATAGTGACAGAGATGATAGAGACATTATAAGCAATAACTTGTATAGCAATAACATTCAAATGTGACTTATGAAAATGACTTATAAGCAATAATGTACAAATGTGCAAAACATGTAAATGGAGTTTTGCTACTTAAACTTTAAGTATTAAGCTTTGTTAATGAAATTCAGTAGCAAATTGTCAATTCAGTGTAATATGTAATTCATATTGGACAGAGTATGCCCAATAGGAATTTGTTTGTATTGAGAAGAAGCAGAATTGAGAGTTGATGGTGACGAAAAGTAGTACAAATATATTTCATCTCGATAATCTTAGACATAAATAACCTTGTTTATTTCTTTATTAAGCATTCGTCTACTTTCTAAACTCTCTGAAATAACTTTTGTTACTTTGCAGATATACACTTGGGGTTTTGGAGCCTGTCTGGGATGTCGAGGTGGTGAAACAACTGCACTGTTACCACAATTAGTTGAAGACCTTGCATCTTTGAGAGTAGTTGATGCTGCAATAGGAGACTCACATGTTTTAGCTCTTACTCATGACTGTGAGGTTTTTGCATGGGGAAACAACTCAATGGGACAGTGTGGGCAAGGTCATTCAACATCTCCAGTACATCGGCCACATCGCGTTTTGGGTCTTACTGGAGTACCTATTCATCAGATTTCCGCTGGAACATCCCACAGTGTTTTTTGGACTGCTTTGCCCATTGACAGGTAGGAGCAGCTCAGTGAATCCAAAACATGCTTGTATTTTGATATTTACAGGGAAGTTGTAATAATTTTTATTTATTTATGAATGGTGGCAGCAACAAGCTGTTGTACACATATCTTACAATGGTGTAATTACTTATACAATAATTCAATTTGATAGAGTAACAATTTTATTATTTGAATCACAATTATAGATAACAGATTTTTCAAGTATACACACATATATACACATACACACATTCACACATGAATGCGCTTAAATCCATGGTTTCTCGAATCGGTATCAGGCAAACGCTGTAGTAGTGCCATAATAAATTAGCCATGGACCATATATGATCTTTCCTTCCTCTTCCTTATCCTATCTTGTCCCTTATTCAGCCACTTGCACTTACAGCACATGCTGAGAGACCAGTTAAGAGTTTAGAGTTTGTCCCAGCTGGGGCAGTGCTGAGCTGGGGAACCCCAGCAAGCCAACATGCAGATCAGTGCTACATTTCACTATCCAGCAGGAGAGCCCTGCCACTTCCTTAGATAATTCATTACCATAGCAGTTGACACGCCTGGAAACACTAATCAATTAACAATCAAACATAATATATGTTTGATCTTTAATTTATATTACATATGATGCACATTATAACATTCGTGAATTTAACAATTGCTTTACTGGAGCCACTGAATGTAGGCGTAGTGGACATACAATGAAATTGAAAAAGAAATCAAGGATATGACAACTTCTAAGCCACAAAGCCTAGGTTCCGTGGCTTTACTAAATAATTGTCTGCTGTCAGTAGCCAACTGCTAGAATTCTCCCTTGACACCATAATTCAACCTAACTACCTAGCTAGTGTCAAAAATCTGTGGGATGTGAACTCGAGGACCTCCTGAGTTTTCCTGACCTCCTAGAGTCATTGAGACAACTGTAATGCTCCAGAGACAACTGTAATGCTGTGTCAGAGCTAACTCAGACGGTTTGACTGTAAAGCAAAATTATAACTCCTTATGATGATGAAATTGATATTATAGGAATTTTATATTTAATTTAACAAATTACCCTCTTGACCAGTTAAGTAAATAGATAGCAGTTGTTATCTAATTATTATCATTTTTTTACAAGTTTCTATATGTTCATTAAAACCTTGTTTTTATGTTCCTGAAACTTACATTTTTCACGTCTTTTAGACCAATTATTCTTGAGCCCGTCAATTGTCTTGTGATCTTCCAAATAATTCCCATTTTTACAGTATAAAAATTAATATTTGTACTTTTGTCATAAGATTTACAATTTACACTTTTATCTGATGTGCAAACACATCTAAAAGATAATGTTTGTCTGAGGTCTTGGGCGTTTGTTTTCTCCCACTCAGCTCTCAAAATACTCTACTGTTTGTTAAGTACGAAGTATGGGTGAAGTAAAACATATTTCATATTCTCTTTTGTGTCCTAGGGTAGCTATTATCGTATCTAATTTCAAAATAAAAATTACAAATGTGTTAAAGGTTGCCTATATTTTAATGAGAGGTTTTGCATATTGCCTACTTATTGTCTGTTTACTTTGCTTCCGACTTCTATTACAGTAGTGAATATACTCTTTATTTAAGATGAGTTAGCGCCTTTCTTTCAAACTATTTCTTTTTCTCTTGAAAGTCACGATTTGGTACCCTCTCTGCCTCATCTGTTCCAAGGTCAGTAAGGACAATTTGTGGCATCTTGTCTCATAGCTTGAGTGCTGTACATCCATAGAGACTTTTGTTGATCACCTTGTACCCTCTCTAAAGTTTGTAATATGCAAATCAGACAGTAGTTGCATATTCGGAAATTGACCTTAGGAACATTGTGTAAATTTCCCTCACTTTGAGAAAAGTATTCTCTTATGGTAGAGAATGGAATTCACTTTCCTGGTGACTGCAGCTACTTGCCTCTCCCCTTTGAAGACCTCCCTTACAATTAGTCCTAGATTGTTTTGAGATGTTGTTGGGGTTAGTGTTTGCCCTCATTTGAGAACTGGTACCTAGGGTTATTTCTTCCAAGGAGTAAAATAGTACATTTACAACTAAAGGGAAGCGTTTAAGTGGTTGACCACTCCTCAGGCTTGTGTAAGTTGTCTCAAGTTGGTGTAATGTTGGGTCTCCGCATAATTTGGTACCATCTGCATAGCAATTCCACTCTGATTTTAATTTCAGTTCCCAGATCACTTTTGTTCAAAATAAATAGAACAGACTTAAGGGCTGAGCCTTGGGAACTCCACTTGTAACAGCTCTTGGTGTAGATAGTATGTCACTTATATGTATTTGGATCTATCCTTCAGGTAATCCTGGATCCATTGAAATAGGTTTCCCTCGATTCCTAAAGCTTCAAGTTTCAGTAATAGCCTCTTGCATGGCACCTTACTGAAGGCTTTTGCATACCCTCATTACATGATTTCCTTAGAATTTCCTTCATCAATTGTCTTAGTACAGATTCAAGTGTACTGAGCAAGTTTGCAGTGATTGATCATCGAAGAATAAATAGGTATTGCTGTTGGGGAACAATGTTATTAGTAAGAACATGGTTTAACAGTTTCTGTTCAACAAGTCTCTCTATCGCCTTCCCTGCTTTGCTAGGCAAGCTTACAGGCCTGTAGTTACGTGGCAGCAGTGTGTTGCCTTTCTTAAGGTGATTGTTGCTGTCTTTTGTTTGGGAACTTTGTCTCGACTCAGTGATTTTCTGAAAATCTTTGTGAAGTTAGGAGCTGGTTGCAGGGCACACTTTTTCAGATATACTTTGGGGATATTATCAGCCCCTGCCGCAGAGCTTTTACTTCAGAGTTTTCAACTTCGCTCTTAAGAGTTACACAAGAGACAGTAATACACAAGGTTTCCAAATATCAATCAATTCAAGATGTCTAGCCTCAAGTGTCAGGGGCACTGTATTTGGTTCTGTGGTGTATATCTCTTGAAAGTAGTCTCAAACATGCTTCAGCAATTCTCTTTAGTTCAGTAACTTGTTTATCTCTCACCTTTATACATGTAAGTGTGCCAGTTGTACCTGAAGTCTAGTTATGAATGTAAGGGTAAAAGTAAGTGTTAAAATTGCTGTGGGTAATTTTCTGAGACCCACATCCTCGGTAAAATTTTCCATCTATGCCATTATTTGTCACTTTTTCGACTTATTTGTTTGTTCCCTTTCCCTTCGATGTTATTTGTTTGTTCCCCTTGCTTATGATGTTATTTGTTTTGTTCCCTTTCCCTTCCCTTTGAATGTTTATGTATTTTCTCTTGTAAACTGTTGATTGAGTATGTGTTTTCTAATATTCTCTCAATTATGTTTTAATTCTCTTTTTAAAATCATACTTTACGCCTTAGTAGTGTGTTACTTGATTGTTAATTCTTATTATTGTGTTTCTTTATAGGCAAGTAGTGTCATGGCATCGTCCATTCTGTGTTGACCTTCAAGAAGGCACCTTTTCACTGCTGCGAGCATTTCTTGAAAAATATTGTTCAGGATTTGGGCAAGATGCTTGCCCTCCACCATTTCCTCATCCAGAGTAATGAATAAAATTTTGTTAATATTATTTCTAATATGAACTCTTAATTAAAAATTTAAAAACATATTATAGTTTTACTAAAAATTCTTTTGTAAAGCCATATAGAAATGCTTAAAAAATATTTCTTGGGACATTGGAGTTTAATTATTCCCAATTAATTTCAGTGATCATCATCGTTTTGTCAGTCTTTGTTTGAAATTGCTGTGTGCTCATTTGTCGTTGGCTCTGACTGGTGGACTGGCCTCTTCTGTCTTGGGCTCTCAAGCGCGCCCACTGATGCATCTTCTGTTCAGGTGAGGTGATCAGGGAAAGTGGAAGAGATTTGCATGAAAAAGAAGACACATTATCAGTTATAATTTAAGAATGTGAAAATGTGAATGTCAATTTATTATTTACAATTGTCTTGAAATATTAATGAAGAAACATATATACAAATACAGTCAGAATTGCTTTAAGCGTAATAAAAAAGAAATGCTTGTAATAAAAAAGTAATGTGTAATAAGTGTAATAAAAAAGAGATGCAAGATCCTTGGCTAAGTTGGTTGGCTAGAACTTGCATCTTGTGTTAATATTATGAATAATCAGAGATGTGATATAAGGTTGTACTTTTTTTCAAAATTCAGGGGAGAAAGAAAAACAGGGAAGAACAATAGAGATTTGAGTGACAAAATGGTTTGGGAGTAGCAGTGATGTAATATTTCCTGTTCTTCTGTCATAAGTGTGAAGAAAAAAATATGGAAAAAAATGTATTCAGCACACATGATACTTTCGTAATAATCATCACTTCCAAAACTGTCTTAGAGAAAGTATTGATAATACAACTTTGCCCTCCATTTTATGCATCTAATAGATAGTGAATTTACCATTTAATATGTTTATTATGAGTTGCTTTAAATATAAATTATTTTATCTCTAGGAGTTGATTGTGGAAACTTGAAATTGTTTTATCTGACACTGTGTGATGTTTTGGCATTAATTCTACAAAATTTTGGGAATAGCAACATTCCAAATATTTTAATCACAGATATGGACTTAGGACTACCTCAATTATAAAGAACTTAAATAACACAGAGTTTATTTAGTGAAAACAAGCCAAAATGAAAATTTATACTTTGTTGCCTTACGAATTCTTCGAAAGAAGAGAAAGTTGTGTAATTGTGTGCCAGAAAATGCCGCAATTTTGCCACAAAAACCTTTTTGCTGGGTTCCAGTAACAAAAAAATGGATAAATCCTGTTGCTAAATTTTGGAAAAAAATCCTCTAACTCGTGGTGTTGCCAGAATCCAAGTTTGTTGTTTCTTGATATTGAAAAATGAATTGATGGCAATATGTCCGTCTGTTCATTTGTGGTCAAAACTAGTGTCTAAACATTTTAGCCAATTTTCTCCAAACTTGATATTTCCCTATCGATCTGGCTGGTGTTGCAGCCCCTATAATTTAAAACCAATATTTTAATGTTGGGGAGTGCTTAACATTAAGCCCCGCAGACATTTTCAAAATTTTCAAAAAAAGACTCCAAATTTTTTAATAAATTTTGTTGTTTAATAGTGCGAAAGATGCTTAAAAGAACGGTACAGGTCTCATATTCGGTGACATCCCTGATTTTTTGAAAATTGGAAAATTATTTTTAAAAGAACAAAGTAGGTGATTACCTCTTTAAAAAAACTCGTGAACAATTATTTGAAAAAATGAGTAGTTTTTGCATAATGTGGGCTTGAAATTTACAAAAATATTCTCAAAAACCATTCCAAATTTTTTCTTTAAATTTTCTCCACATATGTAATAAGGGCTGGAAAGAAGTATGGTGCTAGTCTAATTTTTGGAAATTGCTTTTTTTCTTCTTCTTTAAATCATGAAAACATTTCAAAACTACAAATTTGAAGATAGATATTTGATTCAGACAAAGTTTGTTGTACGAAGTTAGATTTTAATATATAAATAAATAAATAAATAAAAAGCTAGTGGTACTATAGAATGGCATGGACTTTTTCACCCTAGTTAGTTGTCTATTCTTTCTACTCTTGACCAGCTGTTTTTATAAGCATCATTATCTTTGTGCCTGTTATCTTTCGTTGCCCAAAAAACAAACATATTCCACATTTTCTTAATTACTTGGCTGTGTAATGCTAGAACTGAAGACACCATACACCTATTACTATTATAGAAGATTTCATTAGCCGTTGTAGCTAAGTGGGGGAGAAAGGCCTGAGCTCTTCAGAAGCTCTTCTTTGCTGGTTCGAGTCTTAGAAACTATTATTTGTGACAATTCTGTGTTGCCGCAGGAAATAATTACGGAAAAACGATTGAAAACCATTTGAAGCAATTCTAATCACAAATACTATAATTCAAGTTAAATAAACTGAAAGTGTCTGTTTGTGATTTTGGAATTTTTAAACAATTTTTCACATCTCTTATTGGATTTGTAAAATGTATGACCCATCAAATCAGTTGTTGTCTTAAGGTACTAATGACTATTATAGAAGTGCCAATTCTCTGTATAACCTGTGTGGTCGAAGTGGTTAAATGTCAGTGTTGTCAGTTTGTTTACGATGTATGTTTACAAGTTGGTTTCAAAGAAAACTTTTGAACTAATGTATGATGTGGTTTGTACTTTTCAACAAATTAACAAAATTTGTATTAGAAAGAAATCCTGTGAAGCTGAAAGATAAACATGTGATGTCACAGCAACATTCAAGTGTCAAAACCCTTTAAAAACAATTAAAGTAAAACCTGCTTCTACTAAAAATACTTTTTCACTGTAATTAGTGGTAAATGTAAATTTCTACCGACTCCTCCAATTTCCATATGTTTATAATTAAAATGTTCTGCTTTTGCACTTTCAAAATGAAAATTTCTCACCTGCGCAAACACAAAGGGGGGGGGGGGTTGGTTCTTGTTCCTGTAGATTTAGTCACACTGAGCACTATTTTCTTTTTTAATATGCAGAGTATGCAGAAATTAGAGTTTTAATAACAGTCTTTGTATTATAGAAAAAACCGTTGAAAACTGTGGAATTATTTCTACAGTTCCCTCATTCTCTCTCTCCTCTCTTCTTCTGTCTCCTCTATCCCTCTCCCAATTCTCCTCTCTCCTCCATCCTTCTCTCTTTATTCTCCTCTCTCATCTATCCTTCTCTCTCTCTATCCTTGTTTCTTTGTTTCTTTCTTAAGCATCTCTTCCTTGTAGAGACGTTTCTATTATTTCCTCTTACATAGCAGTTAAACAGGACATTACTCAGCATTCAAATATTGTTGTTGTTTTCTGCTGGACATTAGGCAATTTATTTGTTTTCAAAACTCAAATGTATGTTTTGTTAAAATGTCTTTCATTTCAATTTTTCTGGCCTGTCCTGTTGTGAATAACTTAAAGATGAACATTGCATTCTATTAATGTCTTGCTATTAAGATTTTTCTGCGAAACCATTCATTTTAAATTATTGTTTGATTTTCTAGTTCTATTTATTTACTCACTGTTTTTCTTTTGTAATTTTTCATTATTGAAGGTTGGTTGACATACCAACTCCAAAAAATGTGGAAGCTGTAGTGAATGACACTCTAGCAATTGGAGCTCCAATGCTGTTACCTCCACTGAGAGAAAGAATGGAATTGCTCCACTCTTTGCTTCCTCAGGGATCCAACTTAACAAAAGGACAGGTAACAAAAAATTTTTCTCTTGTTCAAAAACTGTGGAAATAAGAATTACTTTATGTATGAAGTTCTAAAATTCAACTATCTAGTATTTTAGTTGAAATTTCCAAGAGTTTTATTGATTGTTTTTTGTTTTGCCATTGAATATTAAAAAAAAAAAATTGAATAAGATTAAAGTAGGTCTCAAAACTTAGAATAATATAATTTATTTGACCTGTTGGCCTTTTATTCCTTTAGAAATTGCTATTGGGAATCATTCTAACCAGCCTCGAAGATCATGGACATGTTTCTGCGCTTCTTGGATACAGCCACTGGACAGAACCAGTCTCCAGTGCTAGTCGCACTGCTGACTCAGATCTTCATTCACACCTTCGTTTGGCTGAAGTATTAATGAAGACGTTATTGGGAAACCTGAGTGCCCACACTGTTGGTTTTTCTAAGTTTTTAAATAGATTTTTTTTTTAAGGATATAATTAATTTACATTGCTTTCATGTACTTCCTTTGTATTTTACCTCTTCAGATGGAGTGTTTAGATTCTTTGGAGAAAACTTTGGAACAAGGAGAAAATGTGGTATCAGATTCTGTGAGTTCTGTGAGCAATTTGTACACTTTGTTGTCTTCACTTCAAACACATTTGGTGGCCTATTGTAGTATGAGCAACAATGAGTTTCCTGCGGTAAGTTAAAATAAATAGTAATTGTTCTTCTGCTTTATTTTTGGCCATTTATAATTTTTGTCTTTTTTTTCTTTCTTCCCCCTATTTAAAAAGTTTCAATGTATAATTTAGGAGAAAGAAGATGTAACAAAAATAAAAAAAAAAACCCTTGGGTTCCTTTGCACATAAATTGGATACACAGTAACAGATGTTACCAAATCTGTAAAAATTTTCTAGTGTGATCTATTATAAAAACAACAAAAAGAAATGGTTTTCATTAGATATAAGCAAGCATGTCATTCCTCACACACAAAGTATTTTCTTATGCAATTCTCCACATAAAACATCTGTTGCACATTCTTTTGAAATGTCTTCATTTTCAATAATTTTGTTGTACTTGTTCCAATCATTCAGTAGCATATCATGCACTTTACCAATGATCTATAATGGTTCACAATTCACATGTCTTTGTAGGCTCATATAACCACATTTAAACACAGCTGTTCATTTTTAAATTGAAGCAAGGGAGAAAAATAAATTCTCATGAATGTGGAGGAGAGTAAAGACACACTCCACAGACTCTACATCAATTTCTCTTTGCATTCAATATTTCTTTAAAGACAAATTAACGCATGATGCTTGATTTTAACTATTGTGGGAAATGCAGTCAACATTATTGATTCAAACTGAATATCTCAAACTATTGAATAGAATCTTCGTCTTCGAATTTTCAAAGAAAGTTTACAAGTCATTTTCTTTTGTGTCTGTCTCAGTTGATCTGATTTTTGCTGAAATTTCAGTAATTTTAGACAAAATATAATGAAACAGTTCATTTGACTTCATCCGATGTTTTTGGACACCATCCAAAGAGATTGTTTAGATGACTATTTCATTTTCCGTCACATGTTTGAATGAATCTGGCACATTGGACAACGATGTCCGACTGAAATTTCTACCAAAATTGGCTCTTCTGTGACCGCAGCAGAACTGTAAAAAATCGCTTGCTGGTATTAGTGAGTTTTACTGTTCAGGTGGAGAACTCTTGAGACCACCACAATATAATAATTTAAACTATATGAATAACATATTAAAAAGAAATAATATATTATTTCTTGAACAATAAGATGAATTCTATAAAAGTTATTTGTCTTGAATTCACAAAAAGTCTAAAATGAATATCTTGAATGGATTTTGAGAGATTGAATTCACCAGAGTGTGTGAATTTGACGATGTGTGCCAGTTAAGATAAGTTACCTGAGTATTGAAAAGGTGAAGCGGCCATGCCCATGCCCCACCACTCCTGGCCTGCACATTCAGCCTGCCCCTCTCTGCTCTTTCGCGCTTCTATGTTCATTATGGGTTTCATAATTTCTAGTAGTATTTTGGGATGTTCCACCAAATTGGAGGTGTTATTATGGGTTCGGAAAATTTTTATTGACGTTTAAAAAGTGTTCGTGCAATATTTGCAGCAATTGCTTCAATGATTTAAAAGTTTTTGTCTAACAAACTCACAACCACCCACATGAACTATTTTTACTGCTGCTGGAGGCCCTATTGGAATATTGTGTGAATGATTTTAGGACAAATCTAGAATAATTTTATGATTTTATATGCATTGTAGACTGAAGATGTATTTCTTTCCAGGTCAATCAGAGTATTGAATTACTACAAAACCATTTAAAAATTCTTCTACCTTTGGCTAGTGATATTTTTACTTCATCAGCATCCATTGCTAGCAGCCATCCAGGTGCTGTGTGTCACCTTTTTGGTATGTTTTTTAATGTAGTTACTTCATTTGCAATGAGGTTGGGGACTAGAAGTTGTATTTTTGAATAAACACTGAAAGTAAATGATGGTTAAATATTTATCTGTTTAAATTCATAACATTGTAATAAAATTGATATAGCCAGAGTTCATCAGCTCATGAGTATTTTTGTCTCAGGCGCCAATGATCTTAGTTGTTGAAGCGCCCTTAAACCTTAATCATCATCATACTCACTAACTCACTCTCACACTCTCACCCACTCACTCACGAGAAATGAGCAGCCATAAATCAGTCCAGACCAGCAATAGTTGACAGTCAAAAGGGGGTGCTCGAGTGAAGTGTAAATATAGGAATGTTTATAGTGTAGTAATATTATGGTACTTATTTAGCATTTGTGACAGTGCAGAGATTGAACATGGCATTAGAAAAAGAGAAAGGTAATCTTTTTTAGAAGGAATGGTGAAAATTTTGTTGTGAAAAAAGTAAGGCTCTCAGTAAGTTATTTCATAATTCACACCCAAATGTGTGAATGGAGAAAACACAAGATACGTTTCTTACAATTTCCTTTTTTATTTTGCCAATGTAAAAAATCATAAACCTCACTGTGTTCCTGTTAGATGTTTTGTAAATTTTCATAAGGTTGTGCTCCCATGCACTAGGGTATTGTACATATTGAACAGTTATGATTTCAGTGTAGCTAAGAAAATGGATTCTACCAAATTTTTAACAGACCTAATGGTGATTATGTAATGTGTTTATTTGTGTTAGGTGTACTGCATCAATCACTGGCTGGAGCCATGCTGTCAAAGCTCTTGCATTCATTGCTTCTATTGAGTGTGCCCAGTGTTCAGCCTTTGCTTTTCCATTTGCTGGGCGCTCTCACCACCCTCGACAAACTTAACCATTTACTGCCATCAGCACAGTGCTCACAGCTAGACAACACTTCATCATCAGGTAAATATAACAAGTTTAATGAAGGATTAAAAAGTACTTTTTAGAAATGGGTATTCATTGTTCCTTGTTACTTCATGTTGGAATTGTTTACCGTCTTGACAGTCTAAACATTCACATACTTTCTATTTCATAGGAGATCTTCAGAACAATTGCATAACTTCTTAGTAGTCCTGTAGTGTGCAACAGTTTAAGAAAAAATAGATTTGTTCCAATTTTTTAAGAGTACTTTGCTGTGAAGTAAAAAAAATTGAAAAATTTGGATCTACTTCAGAAAATTTACAAATGATGTTGAGGCTTCTTGTGAAGTATCCTCCAAAATCAAAATATCTTTCAAATTGACAGCCTCAAATTTGTCCATGTAGGTCCAGGAATATTAATTTAGGCAAATCTTGTATAAAGGATTCTAGTGTTGACCAAGGACAGGCAGAGTGAAGTTTTGCTGTAAAATAATTAAAGATGTTGTCATTGCCAACAATGTTTTTTAATTCAAAAGCAGCTTTCGATGGCTTAGCCATCATCATCAGTTGTCTGCTAGATGGAAGCCACGAAACGACTACCTGCTGTCGACTACGAATTTTGCTGTAAACCAATTTTTCAATGTCAAAGACCCAAAAAACTTGGTGTCTAACTATACATAGAATTAAAGGACGTAATTTACTTGATAAGGAAGAAATTCCAGATCTGGAAGGGTTAATATACAAGAAGTTGTTAGTGGATATTTATTGTTTTATTTTAATTAAAAAGTACAATAGTGTTTCAGTTGCAGTATGCAACTCCTTTTCAAGTGCATTTAAAATTCAACACATGTAGTCAAATTAAGAGCAATAAAAAGAGTACATCTTAAAACTTTGGGAGACATAGTCCTGATGTCAAAATATGTCAACTTATTTAAAACTAAACTGTGGAATGGCATGTGGTAGACAATCATATATTTTAATTACAAAGAAACAACATTTAGCCACTAACAATGTGTTGTATACGTGTGTACTCCTCAGGATCTGGTGATTTAGAATTTCTGTCTTGTTAAGACTATACTTAGGTGTTAATTCTAAAATGTACTTTACTATATGTAGGAGCAAAATTTTGTTCACATTTTTATTAGAGGGGACCCACAATTCAAGTGATTCTGTCTGAAAAATCAACATTTTTCACTGCAGCATTTCAATACTTTCACTCAGTCTATGCAAGAAAAAAAAGTAGAAGGGCATGATTTGAAGCAACAAAGACATTTGAGAAGTTAAACAACTATTTAATATGGAAATAGATTCAGAAAATACCAATTTCTCTACCTTAATGCCTAATATGTGTTGTTCTTTGCAGAAGCCAATACACCTACACCAGGAGAGTTGGCTGAACATGCATGGTTGTGGTTATTGGATCTTGAACGAGCGTGTAGCCTGTTGGTAGGCCGATGTCTTGGGGGCCTACTGGTTGGATGTCCCCTGGCAGACGAAGAGGAGCTGGCCCAGCATTGGCTTAGTCATGCTCTATTTTCACATGGTCTTGAAAAACCTGAGGTTAATGTGGGTGAGTGAAGTTGTGTAGTTGTAACTAACAAATTTTGAGGGTAGTAATAAAAGTATAATGATTATACTTTCAAAGTGGATTAATGCTAAATAGAAGATATAATAGCTTTATATTTTGCCTGAGTACCTTTTTATTCAGTTCATATTATGCAACTTATCTGAAATATGAACTTCCATCTCAGAAATAATATGTGTCATCATTGACAACAATATGACAATGCATATAATTATTTCATTAGAAATGTCAATGGTAACTCACCACAAGACCTATATACCATCTCATAACCTGGAGGTAATAGAAATTTAGTCATTATAATTTTGTAGCGCCATATGACAAATAAATGCTTGTGTATGCATGTATGTATGAGTATGTGTGAGTGTTTTTGTTTTTTGAAGGGCAGACTCAAATCTTCAAAAGACAGTGGTCAGCCTCTGAACTATCCAGCCTGAGAGATTTTTACTCCCTAGAATCATCAGTTTTCTCTTCTATACTTCCTGTGGAACCACCTTCAGGCTTTATATGAGGATTAGGGGTGACTGTTATATGTCACATCTCTTTTACAGTTCTTGGCAGTCAACCAGAGGCATCAAGAGATTTCCCTTTTCCCTTCTCCTGTCTTGTTAGCTTGAACAGTACTTATGAAAAATTATGCATGGCCCTTAAATTGGTTGCAGAGATAGATGTGGCTGTAATCTCGGGAGTGATTGGGTCAATCTCAAGATTTTGAATGACTTTATTGGTAGAAACTTGGGTACTGCTCAGTGACCTGGACAGCAGATTCACATTCAGGACAATGTAGAATATCTTCTGGTTTGAACCTGTGGAAACATGTATCCATGACACGTTAGGAATTGTTTGAGATAATAATTTACCTCATCTATCTGATCACCCTGCTTTTGTCTACATACTTCTCCCTTTTTCCACATTGAAGGACCTTTGTGTCAATAGGAGTCATCCTAGCGATGACACACTGCTTCTCTGCCCTCAGTACATAATGCACAACCTTGCACACAGTGGTATGTTTTTTAACTACAAGGACCGCAAAACATTACTGTTGCTACTGAGATATGTGCCTTCTATTTCTTTTGAATTTTTGTTTGCAATGACAGCTTAGAATGTTGTGATAAGAATAGCAATTCTTCTTGCAGTCTACAGGCAAATAGATGGCAATTTCCAAAAATGCTCTTTTGTACTCATATCCTGTCACCTACCCATTTGAAAACATTTCTATAAATTTGTTTTGGTTTATTAACAAGAAATTATCATTAAGAAACTCATTTTGAGAACAGAAAATGTTAATTATTGCGAACTCAGTTTATTTTAGATATTCATTGTTATATGACTTAAAAAATAATTAATTTCAAAATTGGGAATTAATTTTTGTTATTAGGACTGCGAGTAAAACATATATCTTACCAACTTTTGAGTGGAAGTGATGACAGTTCAAATTGGTTGGAATTGGGAATCATGCCTCTGGAGCCAAGTATGCAGGCATGGAAAGATCTTGCTCTGCCTACTACTTCAGGAGTAGGTGTCGGCAGTGGAGGGGTAGCCACCAGCCAGCTATATGAGCAGTTGCTGGAGCATGCTCAAAGTCACGATTGGGATACTTGTGAAGTGGAAGATGAACCATTACTTGAATTGTTGACTCGAGTAGCTTTAGTTACAATGCTCAAACATACAGGCCTGTTGACTCAGCCATCTCAACACATGTAAGTATCTTATATTTATTGTTGTGATCATTTTTATCCTCGTATATTAGTACAAACAAAGTGTGTGATGTATAAGAAAAGGAAAGTAATGATGCAAAATTCAATCAATCAGAGTATCGGGGAACACTAATACAAACATATCCATCAAAATATGAAAAATTTTCCTTTCTTTCTATTTTCTTCTTTTTCTTTCTTTTTTCTTTTATTCTTCTTTTTCTTTTATTCTTCTTTTCCTTGTATTCATCCTTTTCTTTTATTCTTCTTCCTTTCTTTTCTGTTTTTCTTTGTTTCTTTCTTTTCTGTTTTTCTTTTCTTCTTTTTTAAAGAAATGTCTGTGTGAACAACACTAGTGTGTCGATCATGTCCAGGATTTTCTCCAAAACAAAGATTCTCCAATCAATTTTGTCAATTTTGAGGCCCTAGGAATGTTTCTTAATCCTTTTTTTTCCAGTGATGCCAATCATGTTGCTGTTCATGAAGTGTATCAAATGGTTTTTGAACTTCGCCGTCGGATTTTATCTGCAAAAAGTCATGGTTCAGTGCCTCAAGATGAGGATATTGTTAGCCTGAGTCACAATCCAGAAGAAGACAGTGGTAGGGATGAACGATTAGATGACACAGGTTTGCTCACTTAATATAATACAGAAGTTGTGTAAGATATGTTGTGTGCTTCCAAATGTAGTTCTACAAACTTGCAAGATTATTAGAGTTGTGATTAATGAAGGACAGTTTCATCATGATATTGTTAGCTTCTTCTTTTGCGTAACTCTTTTCATTCTTTTCCAACTGAGTAAACATGTGTTGTTCCTTTCAGATGTAGATGATACTCAAAGTGAAGGTGGAGGAGCATCTCCCTTAGTGGCTGCTGATGGATATGAAATGTTAGCCCAGTGTATGCTGCAGAGGAGTTTGTTTCTCCTTTTAGCTGTTCGTGGTCCAGAAAACCCCTTTACTGACTTGGATAATGCCCAAACCGAAGATGACAATGATAAATTGCTTATGGCCAGGTACAGGTTTGTTTTTCTGATGTTTAGTGGAATGCAAGCCAAAACCTATAAGCACAAATTGTTATTAATCAGTAAGTCTTTCAGTGTATAATTAATATGAACATGTGTCTTGCCCTTCATAATAATTGTATGTGAAAATATCAAAATGCATCCTACATGATTCACGACTGTAATGGATATCCAGAGGAGATTGTCTTGCCCTGTGCCTGAGTTTGCTGTAAACTTCATGAAGGCTTCCCGGGGCAAGGCCTACGCCTTTTTTGTAGACACTTTATGCTATACTCAGATGATTGAGAAAATGAAAGAAGATCAGGGCACCTACCTGGAACTTGGAGAAAACTGCAGCAAGAAATTATAAAATGTTAGACAAATATTATGTAGTGATGGTTGTAATAATTTTCAAGATTCGTTATTAGTAAGAAAATTTTAACATTAAGAAACTCAGTCAACAGCAATGTATTTGAGGTTGTAATTTTTCAGTACAAAGAGTATTATAATTTATTATTTACTTGAATGAAGTTAAATTAAATGTCATTGTATGCAATATAATTAAATATCGTATACCATCCAACCACTAGTTAACAATAGGTAAACACTTAGGAAGCATATTTTATACTTCAGTTCTGTCATATGTAAAGGTATGCAGTTTATTTAGTATGACAATGCACTTCTAATGAGTTAAAGCTATTGCCACTTCCTTTCAGGATAATGTAGCAAAAAATTGGAATTTTTTAAAAACATTCTCTTTTCATTTGAAAATATTTGCTTCTTTAGTTTAAAGAATTTTAAAGCAACTTTCTTTTTGAAGTCTGTTTATTAATTAATTAAATAATTAATGCTGGGAGTAAAACAAGTTGAAATACATATCCCATAAATATCTAATGTATTTTGTCATTTTTTATTTTGTAGTATGTTATGTCATTTATCACAATCAGCAGGTTATCAAGCAGCAGTTATCATTTATCAAATTTTTAAACCTTTTTTTTATTTTTTTTTAAGGAGACAGTGCAAATTACTACGTTCATATATTTCTTTAAGATATTGGATAATTTCATATAAATAGAGGAAAGGGTAATTTTTCTTGCTACCACATTTCCACCACCACATCCACATTATTATGTTCACCTTTCAGTTCATTTCCCATTTGTATCTACACCCTATTGTCTCTTTCTCAAGACAGACCGTTCATAGCTTTATTATTGTTAAATCTTATGAGACTAATGTCATCATATTATTGATGACTGCTTAACACTATTAGGAGACCAGAATTGTCTCTTAATTTTCAGGGTCCAAGTTGAGTTAGGTGGGACTGTTGGACCAGTCAGCCTCCGTCGGCAGTTAGCGGCCATTCTTCGCTTTGTTAGTGGAGAGCCAGCGGAGCGTCCACTTCTGGCATGTGGTGCTGACATAGATATGGGTTGGGGTAGTGACCCTGTGTTGTTGGGTTCTGCCATGCAGCGACAGCATGAACGTGCCGAGGTGAGCATCTAATATGATGAAAGGTATGATGAAGTTAAGGATTTAAAACTAATCAACAGAGTTGTAGTAAAATAAGATTTTTATTTGAAGGGTTAAAAGCTTTCATTTGCATGTATTTAATGTATAAATAACACTTTCATGCATTCACAAATTTTCACCTTTTTCTAGTTATCAGATTTTCAAAGGTATTGTAGTTATCTAGTTTTCAGATTTTCAAAGGTATTGTTTTGAAGTCTCAATACAGAAGAACTCAACACTAGGCCTAGAAATAAGATGTATTAATAATTTTGTCTACTGTTTTACTCTTATTTTGTTCAAAAGCACTTTTGAAGAATATCGTACATTGAAAAATATTATGAGTAACACGCACAAATAATAATAATTCAATAAATAAGAGGAGTGAAAAACAGTTTGTAGATAAAAAATATTACCAAACATTTAATTTGTGTAGTGTTTATTTATTTTTGAATACTATAGTTTGTATCTGTTTTGTAGAGACGACTCTCTGCTTTGAACCAAATCCTGGAACTTGTTCAAGATGCAGACAAAGAAGATCAAAGCAGTCTTCTCAGTTGTGTAAGACTTTTTGTTGCAAATGTCTTTGGAAGATGTGGATGGGGATAGAAAATGGTCTAGAGGATCATTGGGAAGTTTAGAACCATCAAACGAACATTTCAGAGGGAGTGTGAATCATTTGGGAGTATATTGTTATTTTAACTTTTAATTTTTTAAATTCTAAAGCAAGATAGAGTACATTCTATGTCTCATTCCTCTGGAAATATTTGACTTTAACTTTTCCCTTAGTTCTTCCCCTTGTTAATACTTTACCCCTTGTTTACTTACAGTAATTACAATAATCAATAAAATTACTGCCCATCCGAGCAATCAACATGTTAATTTGTATAACCTTTAAAACATGTTTTGAATCACAGTGTCTGCTTGTAGGTGCAACAACAACTTCTCATTGGGTGTTTTGTCCTGGATGGTGTTTCTGTTCCTGGGGAACCGGTAACGAGTGCACAATTACACCATTATTTGGATAATGTTCGAGCTGCTTCTCAAGCCTTACAGTCACAGATTTGTAGCACATCTCACCGTATTTACTCTTTGCTTGTGGGCTTCTTAAGTCGTGCACAAGATCAGACAGGTATATGAACTTCCCTTTTTGTTGTTTAGATAACTATAGATGTACTAAGAAAACTGTTGTTGTTTTTTTAAGGAATTTCTTTATTTCTGCTTCGTTCCACTGGTTACATGTCTGAATTTGTGTGAATTGATTTCAATAATGAATTCTGTGTATTAAGAACCTAATTTTCATGTAATCTGATACTATTTCTTCTGTAGAATGTGTATTACAATGCATTTTCAAATACTAAGATAATACTAATTTGGTTTTTGTCTGAGAATAAATTTTTATGAAAGATACATTTACCCATGATGAATGTGGGACATGTGATTTATAACACAAATATTCAAGTGATTTTGGTGCTATAAATTACATACTACTGAAATTTAATAATGATGTTAAGTGAACAGTGCTTTTATATGTTTCAGGAACTTCTCACCAAATTGATGTTCTAACTGTTTATGCTTTGAGCGTTCGTTACCAACCATGTGATCTAGTACTATCAGTGACTTGTGGATTGTTGCCACTTTTGGGAAAGCTTTGTTCTGGAGATGCACCTTCACCTTTTGATGATCGGGGACGACAAGGTCAAGGAATACTAACTGTAGCCAGCATGCGTCTTCTACACATTCTGGCCATGTCTAGTGGGTAAGTCCTCTGCTCAGCAATGTGATTTCAATGTGGATACTATACTTAGTTAAAGTGATCAATTAATTAAATAATTCATAAATAATGTATTAAGTATTTTGTATATTTCCTTGGAACCGCCTCATGGCAGTACCAGCTTCATAGACAAAATTCAGCATTCAAAATCCAGCTCTGAGTTAGCAATTTGCCTATAACTAATTGAAAATTTTTTAAGTTTCATGTCAAGGACTTCATAATTTTGCATTTACTTACTTTTATCATGTCTCTGTTCTGTATAAATATATATATAGATGTAGGTTTGTGTTTTTTTTAAACTTGTGCAATTAAAAAAATAATTAGTATCAGAATGAAGGAAAAAGGTCTAATTATGATGTGCAATAATGAAACATTTATCACAAGCCTTGTGTATGCCCTAAAACCTTGTAGAACTACATATTTTGTTGAAATGTAGACCTAATGAGTGGAGTGTTGGTGTGTGTGTGTGAGTGTTGGTGTGCGCGCGTGGGCGCGGGAGAGAGTGTGAGAGAGAGAGAGAGAGAGAGTGTGTGTGTGAGAGAGAGTGTGTGTGTGTGTGTGAGAGAGAGATAGTGTGTGTGTGTGAGAGAGAGAGAGTGTGTGTGTGAGAGAGAGAGAGAGAGTGTGTGTGTGAGAGAGAGAGTGTGTGTGTGTTGTGAGAGAGAGAGAGAGAGTGTGTGTGTGAGAGAGAGAGAGTGTGTGTGTGAGAGAGAGAGAGTGTGTGTATAAAAATAATGAGTCAATTAGTGCAGAGAAGAGTAATCATGAGACTGACAAAGTGTATGGAAAATGTGGTCTTGGAAAGAGATGATTAAGAAGACATGGGGATAATTGGAAGTCATGTCAACTAATTTTGTATTTTTGAATACCTTCTTGACATACCTATTTGCTTCCTCAGGGCTTGCCTAGCAACAAAGCTCTGTACAGTCAGATGAAGTGTGAAACCTTTAAATTATCATGAACATATAGAAATTGTCTCTTACAATGTGGTAAAATGATGTTGGCTTTAGATGGCAAATCCCCAGCACATTTAGACCAAAAATTGCTTTAGATTTTATGGATTTTACTTAAATTTTGCCTATTTTCTGTTTTATTGATGGCCATGGAGTCTATCTTTGCATATTATTTGTATTATTGTGTTGTTTTTGTCAGGATCCATGCACATCAACTGACACGGCCAATCATAGAAAGTGTTGTTGATCTGATGCTTGCCCAACTTGAACATATTTTGAATTGCACGCGGCCCGGTACTAGCCGAAGAGAATTGCGTTCAGCAGAACGCCAACTTGGTGACTTTTTGGTTTTTGTGCGTCGTGTTGCATCCAGCTCTGTCCTACGGACTTTACTGGCATCACGTCAGTGGACCCAAATGCTATTGACTGTAGTTGGACAACGTACATCTGCTGGAGAAGAGCAGGTTAGTTCATACGTAATATGAAAACAAGTGACAATAATAATAATAATAATAATAATAATAATAATAATAATAATAATAATAATAATAATATAATATAATATATTACACTACTGCCTTAGCGGTTATATATAATATATTATTATTATTATTATTATCATTATCATTATCATTATCATCATCATTATCATCATCATTATCATCATCATCATCATCATCATTATCATTATCATTATCATTATTATTATTATTATTATTATTATTGCCGATCCAATGGCTGAAATCACTAAGGCAGTAGTGCTGTAGCAGTCTTGGACCAGAAGATCATGGGTACGAGTCCCGCGTTGGGCATGGTTGTGTTGTGTGTGTTTGCATGTGTCTATTTCATCATTCATCATCATCATCATCATCATCATCATCATTTCATCCCATCTCCCAGGGCTAACAACCCTGGGGAATTAAAATGCAATCAGCATTAAAATGCTGAACCACTTGAACTCCATATTGAAACCCTCTATTAAAAACCCCTATTGAAAAAGTAATTTGCACCTACCCCAATAATCAAGTCTGACCCTGGTGGGATGCACATATCGCGTGGCACCATGATGGCCGATTTGCAAAACGAACGAAATAATATTATTAAATTTATGACAATGTATTAAATCAGTTTCTTTTTAACAAATGTATATAAGTAGTCTGATAAATTCTCAGCTATCTGGGAGACGCAAGACGGGAGGGCAAAGCAGCCAACAACGCAGCGTCTCTCGGATAGCCAAGAATTTATGGATTCGGGCCACGGAAGCTTGCGTGTACATAAGTAGTCTGAGTAGTTTTTTATTTTTTAATTTTATCAAAATAGTAAATTGTACTACAAATGATTCTGTTTTCCTAATGTAGGTGAATCTACCACGCATTCATTCTTTACGTCCACGCCTACTTGCACTCCAGTTGTTAGCAGCTGTATTACCTAGTTTGGACCCAAGTACAGGCACTGAACATAAGGAACAGGTTGTGCGTGAGCTTTTCTGCCAATTAGTTGCGAATATGTGGGTGTTGCCTCAAGCTATGGCAGAACATCAAGCACTACACAAACAAAAGGAACTCCAGCGTAAACTCTGTCAACTCAACAGTCCTGGTAAAAATCTTAATTGATACAATGTATTGGTCTGCTGTAAAAGAGACTGCATGAGTAACCTGATTTAACATTCTTGAATATGTAGTGGTGAGAAAATGAGAAAGTGATGGTAAAGCTGCAAATAGTTGTCAAGATTTTTATGGAAATACTGGCCCCAGATATCGGAAAAGTGATTATTTTTAAAATGTCTGTGAACAAAAGTGCCACTCAAATTGTGCACAGGATTTTCACCACAATTGGTATTCCCAAACTGATCTGGCTGAGGTCATGGCCTGTCAAATTTGAAAGGGGTCATTAAAATTGTAGGGGTTTCTGAAGATGAAGTCACTAAGGCATTTTCAAAATTTTCTCAAAAGTGGCTAAAAAATGATTGGTGCAAATATATTACGTGCATGTTATAAAGACGGTGCAGATCCTTTTTTCATTGAACTCAGAATTCTTGTACATTTCAATAGGTCAAAATTTATTCAACTCCCTCCTTTATCTACAGTCCTGAAGTTAGACATTTATTTCTCAATGAAATCTTTTCTACAAAATAAGTTATTTCAATAATGTCATGTAATTGTTTTGAAAATTTAAGGTTTTTTTTTTCCATATAATTCTGACGGAATTTTTAAAAAACTGTAAACTAGATTCTTTTAAAAACAGCTATAAAATGTTTCTTTGAAAACAAATAGAATAAAGAAGCCTAAAATAGGATAGTGCAGTATTTAATCCTAGGAAACTGTAGGCTAAATAAATAAATAAATAAATAAATAAATAAATAAATATAAATATATATATATATATATATATATATATATATATATATATATATATATATAATATATGATTATTAATTAGAATTATAATATACTTTTTATCTCTCTGTACACATTAATATTGAAAATTATGACCTCATAAAGGACATGATTATATGGTCCTAGTTATTAATATTATGAAGAATGTTAATGTACAAAACTTCTGCAATGATATATTTTGGGTAGTATAATTTATTGGTTTACACACAGGAGAGGTTTGGTTGGATAGTGATATGTGTGAAGAAAATGTGCCTGTTCAAGAAATGGGATTTGATGTTGAGAAGTGCCTGTGTTGCACCGTGGAAGGAGGTCAGACTCTAGTGCATGGGCCTGGAGGTCGTGGCTATGGTCTAGGAAATACTGCAATAACATCGGGTAAGAAAATATTATGCAATGCACTTATGCATTGTATTCTAAGTATCAAAAGTTATCTATAAGATCCCTTACATTTAATGAACATGAAAAAGTTATAAAGAAAACTCACTTATTAATATCATTATCATTATCATTTTTATTATTAATCTTGCACATTACTTGTGTTTAGATTTTGTGTTTTACAAAATATTCAAGTGATCATAACTTAGTGCATAATCAATGCGAATTCTTGTTTCTTACCATCATACGTCTATCATTAAGATATATCCATTTATATTATAGGAACATGTATATGCGTATATATTTAATGAGTGTGAAATCCTATTTTTGTCTCTTTTCATTAGAATTTGTCAAAATTCAGATGTTTTAATTAATTTTTAAATGTACTGTACATTTTGTATTTAAAATATACAAATTATATTTTTGTCTTCTTCTTTTCAGGTTGTTATCAGTGGAAATTTCTAATTGTTAAAGAAAACAAAGGCAACGAAGGTACTTGTGTTGGTGTGGCTCGTTATCCCATTAAGGATTACAGTCACCGCACCACAACTGACATGTGGCTCTATAGAGCTTACAGGTATTTGTGTTTGAATGAGATCGTAATAAATTATATCTTTTGCAAATTGTTTTAAAATCAAACTAGTGGTAAATGTTTTTATTTTATGTTCTATGAGAAAATAAGTGTTATAAGAGTTTATTAGAATAAATTCATAGGAAAAATAAATGTTTTTATTATAAGTTTATTTCAAAATACTTATATTATCTGATGTATGTTGAATGTTCTAGTGGTAATCTATATCATAATGGTGAGCTGCCACAATGCTTAGCAAGTTTTACTCAAGGAGACTACATAACTGTGGTACTGGACTTGGATGCTCGTACTGTCAGTTTTGGCAAGAATGGAGAGGAACCACATTTAGCGTTTGAGGATGTAGATGGGACTGAATTGTTCCCTTGTGTAATGTTTTATAGTACAAATCCTGGAGAGAAGGTATATTTTCAATTTTCAAATATTACTTGTGCAGAAGTCCTATCAAAATCTTAAATAGCAAATCATTTTTACTATTTTAATTTTTTTAAATTTCATTTATTTTTATCAAAAGGCTTTATATAATTATTACTTAATGTAATAAGTGGAGTTGTTGAATATGTTAACAATAATATTGATAATAATGATAATGTTGCTAAAATTAATTATGATAATGATATTGATGATAATGATAATCATAACAATGGGAAAAAGGAGCAGAAACCAAAGCGAGTTTTTCAGAAGTTGCAGGTTATGATGTTTGTAGTATGTTAGCAACCTAACAAACTTTTTCAATTTAATTATTTTTAGTTAGGTACATGAAATATGCACAAGTGTCGGTTATAATTAATCTGATGTTGAATTTGTATTGCATTAAATGCAAATGAGATATGACTGAATTATCTGTGCAAGCACTCTCCCAGGTGGTTTGCTTAGCTACCTGGGGTTCACAGAGCAAAAGGGCTGTGAGCAGAGGGAGTGAGGGAGTTTGTGAGGCAGAGCAGACATTGCTGATTGTGAATCAATCAGAGTGGTCTGCCACTCTCCCTTTGACAGCTTTGACAGCTCATATAGGGATGTTTGCTGTCATCATAAAACCCATTAGGACCCCTCTTTATGATTCACCATCGTTTGATTGCATGAGCCATAACTGAGTCATAGTTTTCTATTTAAACTATTTGTACTCAGTTTTGTGTAACAAAGTAGGTAGTACCTTATAAATGGAATAGAGAAATATAGAAGCAGGTATTAGGAATATTTGTTCAAAGATTTGAGAATCAAAAAATAATAAGATTTTCATGTTGATGTTATTGGTAGGTGAAAATGACAGACATGCAAGTGAGAGGAACTCCCAGAGACATGCTTCCGGGTGATCCTCATTGTGCACCTCAAGCTGCTGTACTTGCTGAAGCCCATATATCTCTTTTAAGGCGGTTAGGAGCAACTGACACATGGGCTCAACAGGTAAAGACAAGAGAAAATTTTGATTGCCTTTTCAAAAATTTACATAAAATAGAATGTTGAAAACAATTCTTCATTTGTGTTTATGTTTTTAGTTCTCTAATATTAAGCAATATTTTTCTGTACCAATTTTTTCCAATTTTTAATTCCTATTATACATATTCTGTAAGTATAAGTATAGTAAGTATAAGTATAAGTAAGTAAGTCTGTAAGTATAAGTATAGTATAGTTCTGTATTCTCATTGTACATATTCTGTAAGTAATTCACTAATGAAAGATAATTTCTGTTTCATGTAAGGTCAATGATTGTCTTGTGGAGCGTTTGAATCAAGCGCGAGAACTTCTGCCTCCATGTGAATCTCAGACAGAGTGGCCATTCCCCTCTAAAAGCACAGGTAAGTTGTGTGAATTATTCATGTGGTTCAAAATACATTGTACAATTGTTTATATACGTTTGTTATTACTCTATATTGTCGCTCTGTGAATACACAGCAAGATTTAATATGTGTTGTACAAACATCTCTGGTTAGGACACTTCAGCCTGTCCAGCTTGACAGTGCCCTGACTTCTCCAACACCTCACAAGTCTCCCTATTTCATGGGTTTCTGGGACAGTGGCCTGTCTGTAGTCCTGTGCATTATTCATTTTAATTAATGATGGCTTCAGAGGCTTCCCTCATTGGTTTTCGAAGGCCACCTTTAGACCTATCTCTGTCTTTCGTTTTGTGATTGTTGGTAGCTGAGGTGAGACCCTTGGGGCCATCTCAGCTGAGATAGTGTGATGAGCCACCATTAAAATGGCAATATTCTCTAGACTCTCCCACATAATGCAGTAAATAAATATTATTTGAACTCGTAGACTTATGGCTCATCACGACTTCTTCCCCTCCCCCACTCAATGCATAACAAACCACCAATAAGCAACCACAATTTACTCCATAAACCTTCCAGTGCCTTGTTTGGAATATGCTATGACTGACCAGCTTCCGGAGGGGTACAGAGGGTATCACAGTAGCTAGCATGGGAAGTGAAAATTTATCGAGAGGGGGATGGAATCAGGTTTCTAAGGTAAATGCGTGATGGTTGTATATGATCCATCAAGCCACAGCACCAGGGGGATCCGTAATGGTACCATATGAGATGAGTATCTTATGCATATGCCTCTGGGCTACCCAGACAGATCAGGTGTGAATGGATATTATTGAAGAGGTGATATATGGGGAAAGCTAATTGTGCCAAACACAGGAAAAGAATCATGCATATGAGAGACCCATAAACTGCCAAACAGAATTTGCTTCTGGCAGGCTGGTTGCAGCCAGATCTAATAAACAAAATAAAACAATAGATGATAAAATGTGGCCAAATAAAATTTGAATCTTAACATGTTTAAAGACACAAAAATATAAAGAAAACTGAATGTGAAAGAGTGTAACTTTAAGTATATTTTTGAGCAGTGTTTGTGGAGCTGAATGAATGGAGTGGGTGACAGGACAACTTTGATGTAATATAATGGTGATTTGGTTAGCTAGATGACTAGGGTTTTGTGATGTTTTGATAACTGATTTGACACATAATTGTGGGATATGTAAATGTTAGCTTGTTTTCTTACATTATTTAATCAATAAATAATAATATTAATTTAATGTAATAAAATAATAATAATAATAATAATAATAATAATAATAATAATAACAACAACAACAACAATAACAACAGCAGTGACAGTGAAAATGAGAATGACAATGCAAATTACAATGAGAAGACAATGCAAATGATAAATATGGTGACGATGAGGATATACTGTATTGCACTGCACTAAACTGCATTTCACTGTTCTTCACTGCTGTACTGCACTGTTCTGAAATTCTACTGCACTGTACTATACTGCAGACTCCACGTCCTCTGTTTAGGTCACAATGATTGCTACGTCCACCTGTGCTGATTCTGTGTGGTTTTTTTCTTCTTTCTTTTGGAAAGCCATGTTGATTTGGATTAATGATGCGTTTGTCTGTCATGTATTTGCTTACTTTTGCCACAATATATTTTTTCATGATTTTTTTCAATAGTTGGTAGAATTGATGTAGGACGAAGAGTCTGTGTTCTCTCCTTAATTAAATATTGGTTTTACAGTAGAGATTTTTAAATCCTCAGGAAACATGCCAGTTCTTATTAGGTTATTTTTTAGGGTTGATATCATTTTACTAAAAATATGTACATTATTTTGTATGTCAGTGGCCCTAATTTCATCAAAGCCTTGAGCTTTGTTAACATTGAATGCTGTAATATAATCTTTTCAATGATGTTAGTATTCGAGTGTGCTAGTTAGAATTTGTAATTGAGGTTACAAATGTCATTTATTTCAACAGTATTGTTGTCTGTACTTATTATCACTTTCACTTAGTTGATAAAGTTGGGCAATTTTATTCTCTAACAGATGCAAGTTTTCTTGTCCACAAAATTAATGATTCTTTTATCAGCATTTTGTACACTATACAATTTTTGTACCCTATGTAAAAGGGTATTTAGTTGTTTTCACAGATTGTTTGTACTGCCTGAATTTTTTTTATAAGTTGTTGACATAGAAATGCTTTTTTTATTTTGTTATTGAGTCCATTTCTCTATGTTTTATAGTTTTCTGAATATATTTTGTTGTTGGGCCTATTTCTCAATTTTTTATAGTTTTCTGAATATTTTTCACTGCTTGGATTTGATTTTCATTCTCTAAAAAGTCTATCATTTTCTATTACACACATATGTAGTTCATATGTAATCCAAGTTTTGTGTCTCTTGGGACTAGTAGACTGTCATCATTATGTTGTTTTCATATATGGTGGAGAAATATTTTTAAATAGTGTAGTCAGAATCAATGTTCTGTCATTCCTGCCCTTCCACCCGCCCTCCCTAATTTCTCATATTTCCTATCTTCAGGCCCCCTTGACTTTCAGGGCCGTGGATAATTACCCAGTCAGCTCTTAATTAGCCTTGACACTGCTGTCTGGCCAAAACCCTTGCTCATCCTGAAAGTGAATAGTGTTAGGTGTACAGGTATGCAGGTGCTTTTCTGCTCTATATTTGCAAGCGAGAAAACAATTAACTTGAACATCTGCCACTCAGGGATGAGATTCTTTAGAAGAGTGTGTAATTGTATGGAGGTATAAAGTGAAAGAAGTGATTGGTAGATATTTCAGAAGCTATTTTTGAGAGTTTGTCAGGAACTAAAATGAACTCTTACTCTGTGCAGTGTGTAGAGATGAATATGCACTAAATACTTGATACTTTTATTACCTTTCATAGTACTTCAAAATGTAATGAATTTCAATCTTTTGGAAAAATGTTATTGCAGATGCAAATATTTCACCAAAGAGTGAAGACATTCAAGAAGAGCAAGAAGGCAAAACTAAACCTAGAGATGCAGACTGGATGAAACATGTTAATCTAGAACAATTATGTAAAGAGGTAAGAGAAAGAAAATCACCATAAGGAGCATGATTCTCTAAAATGTTTCTTTGCTACTCCAAAGGAAAAATATATTAAAACAACTGTTAGAAATTATAGCCTGTAAGTATATCTTATGTCCTTTTTTGAAGGTTAAGATGCAGCATGCATCCACTACTTCAACTGCTGTTCAACTTGTTGAAATGGTTGTTTAAGTATCATTCAGTAGCTCTGAAAATCATTTCAGTAATTATGCAGACCTTTTGAAATGGGCCCTGGTGTAACCTTTTGTTTTTGTTTTTCAGTTAGATTTCAAGAGTTATTTATCTTCCCTAAGTGCATCTCAGTAAGGTTAAAATTCTTGGATATGTTTCTATTTGTGTGTAATGCATCGTAATTCGATTCAGTCGCCCTGCAAAATAATGTTATGCTTAAATGTGGTACTCTCATCTGGTATCGTACTTTTCAGGATTCAGAAATATGGCTTCTGTCAAAGATTGTCTACATTTTATTTCTTCATTTTTTCTCTGTTGCTTAATGAGAAACTGCATTTGTCTGTTTATTAAATTCAAACAACAGATTTTATCATTAAACATTAAAAATCCAGAATCAAATTGCAATGTACCATATGACAATTGCTGCAGGAGTTCAATTTTTTTTCAAGTTGTTTAATTCACCCTCCTGCCTTTAGAATACAACACCTCTCAAGAAGAAGAATATTGATAACTGAAAAAATTTGTGATTTCTTTGTTGTTTAATAGGTAGATGCATCAAAGTCTTGTATCATTCTTTTAAATGCTAATGTCAACCTATTTTAAGTGGACAAACACTAGACTATCATCTCAGAAGAAAATCATATGTTGTATATAAATTCTCTAATGTTTTTGTATTCAAACCTGTTTTTAAAAAATATATTGTTTATGGTTCACAAATGGCAGCCATTTTTGTTGTAAGCCGTGCCCCACTTTTCATGTTTGTTGATGTTTACATAGAGGTTGTTGTATCATTTTGAAACTAAAATGTATTGGATTCAGTAAAGGCTGAACTGGAAATCAAAATTATATGTATTTACATAATATGTTTTTACTTGGTCAATACAGTAAAAACTGTCTGAGTCAGAATCGATCAGAACAAAAAAAACATTTGTTGGGGGATTTCCATTTTATGCAGGGTTGTCAATTTTATGATACTTGTGATATTGATATTTCTGTGTCTCCCTAGTGAATTACATGACTTTATATTAACCATTAAAATACAATAATGTGTAACTTATTTATGAAAGAAATTATCAATAAATAAATGTTAAACATTCTTCATTGATAGCTTTGTAGTTCTTTTTTGTCATTATGAAGGAATATAGAAATTAATTTGATCTTTGTATCTAAGTTTTTTTTGGGTTTTTGCAACCATTGTACAACTGGTTGAGAAACTCGTAAAAATACTCACCTCCTCACTGCCTACTGGCTGCAGTTAAAGTGCTTGCTGACTCTTACAACCCACAATGCATCACAGCCAAGAGTACTGTGACTTTCTTATACCCTCACATGGCCTTGAGCAATGTGTCACTGGACAAAGGGTTACTATTTTCAATGTGGAGCAGACAGATGCGTGAATAGAAACCATGCCCATACATCTTCCCGCACCCTGAGTGTCAAGAAGGAAAAAAAATCTACAGCTGTATATCTTGAGAGACAAACAACCTGAAAATCGAATTCTACGCTGACAGTCAAAACCCTTCTCTATCACTGTATGGCTACCAAGACTAAATCACAGGAATAGAGAATTAGAAACAGACTTGCAAATACTTCATTTGATTAAGATTATCTTGCATCTCTCTATCATTTGCATTAAATTCACAGGAATTCCGATTAATAAAGGAATTTTTTCCTACAGGACATGAAAAGCCTTTCTATTTCCACATTGGACAAGTTCCGTTTTATGCAATGTAAAATACCATTTAACTTCATGGGCCGGAGAAATTTTCCAGTTAAGCCAGATTTCTGACTTGTAAAGGTTCTGGTTTAGACAAATTTTACAGTATTTGCAACGATAACTATCAAACGTGAATCAACCAATTTTGATTTTTTGAGATACAATTTTCAAAAAATGATTAGAATTAATTTTACTGCATTTTTCTGTACTTTTACACATAATGATGCAGTTACTTTATGTTAAATATCAGTGAGAAGTAGCATATAACTTAAAAATGACACACTTCTCATATTGGAATTTTTCCAAATTTTCAATTATAATATCTCTGTTGGGGAAGAAGATACAAATTGCGAATTTCTTTAAAAGATAGCTAAAATACCAAACCGTTGTATAAATTTCAAGTTTGAGTTTTAACTCAAAGTGATTTTTTTTTAAATTCTAAATATACACGAAAAATGCTTCATGGGACGATTGACGTTGGGAAGAAGCGGTAATAAGGAGCAATCATACAATTTTCCAGCCATTTTGAATTCAAATCTACCTCACTCTACAGTAATTAATAATAATGTTTAATGGCTTTAATTTTATTTATTAACACTTTGGTCCATTCACATAAAATTAACAATAATTATTATAACAAACATTATATATAATACTTCTTACGTAATTAGACATAATATTACATAATTGCATCTTTTTGACAATCGTTTAACATTTACAACTCGTGTGCTGAGGAACTTACATGCTCTGCTAATAGAACATATTTTTTTTTTATAAATAAACACAAATGCTGCATTATATATAATTCTGAATAATACTTGAATGCCATTCAAATGTTTTTGTAAATGAAAATAAGGTCATCTTATCATCAGTACTGGACCATTTTAAATGGAATGACCCACTTTTAAGAATGTTACATGTTTGGCTACCATAATGGTGGCCAATATCATGTACACAAATATGATTGTATTGCGAGTATATATGTTGTAGATTTAATGAATGGATTTCTTTTGGATATTTAACATGAGATAAAAGTTTTGAAGTTGAAATTTTTCGTTTATAAGGAAAATGTGTTTAGGTCTGGCCTGCTCTGGCAGTAGTAGGTGGTGTTGACAGAGGCTTACGTGTTGGTGGGCAGTGTGTGCATCGACCAACTGGTCGTCGGGCAACTGTGCTAGGAACATTGAAACAAGGCCTAGCCTCCGTGAAAGTGCAATGGGATGATGCAGATGCTAGTGTCAGGTGAATAGATGCACTTGCTCTTATAATTCCAAAAGTGATATATTACTAATCCATTAAAAGTAAAAAAAAATTAATGAATTGAAATACAACTCCCAGAATTGTGTTATGAAGTTAAGAATGATGTAAGAATACACACCTAAGTTATATGAAAGTTGTAAATTGGTTTTGGTATTGAATGTCATCTCATTTTAATATTAATCAGTACTGTTATTTCGTAAAAATGATTTTAGCCAATTTTATGATACTTTCTTAATTTCTCAATTTAATATTTTTAAGCTCTGGCAGAGGAAAAAGGGCTGTTCTTCATAAGAATGTGACTTTTGTAACCAGTTATATTCAGTTCTTATTCACATTCATCCTTCATATTTTTTAACAAAACTTTAGGAGAAATGTAAAAAGTAAATATAATAGGTTAAAATCCCAAGTAATATTATTATTTATTTGATAATTATTATTTAATTATTTTATATATCATTCACTTCTGACTATGAAAAATTAAATTGCAGAAAATAATTTTAGCAAATATATTATTTGAAAAGTTATTAAAAATATATCAACAAGGCATGCTAGTAGTGTTTCATTGTTAATATATTGCACATTTTGTATTTTTCAGTGATGGCTTGCTCAGTGCTCTGGAACCATGTGAGCCATTTCCATTCCATCCAAATAGATTGATTGGACTTTCACCAGACATTATTTTACAGATTGCAAGACTTAGTGGTCTCACAGGAGAGGTATATTTTCAACTTCTGTAATCACTGTAAGAAACATTTTAATAGTTGAAATATTCTAAGTTGCCTTTTTTCATTGTAGCTTACCTTCCCCATGTGTGATCTGACAATGGCTGAATTAGAACTTGTAAACCCTACACCAGTGCCTCCACCTGCTCCTCAGCGTCGACACTCGACAACATCATCTATTACTATGACTCGCACTGTCGAATCCCTCACAAATGAGATGGTGTCAAGCATTATCGGAGAAGTTACCAGGAGAGGAAGTGCTGATCGATTAACTGGAGAACATAGAACCAAGGATTTGGAAGACGAAGCATCTACCAAAGATATGACTGCTGCAAGGTATTATTACTAGGAAGTTATTGAGACATTTCTACCAGTTGCTTTGATTTTCTTCTTACCATTTAAGAAATGTGTTCTTAACATGGTATATTAACTACTTCATTATTTTGTAGTAAGAAATTTAAAAATATACACATTTTTTGAAGTTTTTCAGTGAAAAATATAAAAACTACTATAAGAGAAAAAATGCATATCTAATACAATGTAAATATATTTTTGTAGAGCGGCTAATATAAAACTCTTAGAATGTGAAGTAGTTTGCCTACGTGTGGCATTCCTTCAATTGGCTGCTCTTAAAACCTTAGCCACTCTCCTGAGCTGTGGACGATATGCCGAGTTGTTGTTGGTTCCTCATACCATTCCAACATCTCCTCTACACAAGGTATTGAAGATCAATTTTGTTTATTTTATTGCATTTTACTAGTAGTCCTGTAAAATGGTAGTTTGATGGAAAAACAAAACTAGAAGTTTTTTCTCTATCCTAATGTACATATTTTGCGGTGCTGAATCTGAATTTCAACTCCCAATCACTGATTTTCTGAGATCAATGAATCCTTTCCACCTGCCCATACCTGGAAGGTCATTATATTTGCTGTAAAACTGTGTCAGGACAAAACTGTGCATGGACAAAAGGAATTGCTGTACATGCATGTGTGAAAATTTCACTGAAATTGTAATTTCTGTAAAAATCTCATTTGTCCTTTCAAAAATTCTTAATGGAACAGCAGCAATCCCTTCAACTACTTCTGCTACTAATATGATGACATGTAGTAACAAGGTGACCCTGCATCGGCAGCTCTATTGAATCTAATGCTAGAAACCATAGTGAGGAAATTGGATATAAGAAATGATATAACCTTTAAACTTTCTCAGCTATTTGCTTACGCAGATGACTGTCAAATTGAAAGAAACCAGAACATGCTGACAGAATTATTTAATCTATTGATAAAGGTGATGAAAGTAGTAGGAAGTATAGTAAATGGACAAAAAACCAAGTATATGCATCTCTCTAGATTTTCTTAGAGTATAAAACAAATACAATAAGCAACTACTAGTTTCAGAAGGTGGAAAACTTCAAATACCTCAGCACTTCATTGAATGAGAAAAATCAAATCCAAGTTGAAATTAATGAAAAATTTAGAAATGGACAGGCATATGGACAGAAATAGGCATACTATGGCAACCAGCCAGCTTATTTGAGAAGCAAGTATTGCGTAAAATATACAGTCCAATCCAAGTGATTCCAGGTATACTGAGAATAATAACCAACCACGAAATTGAAAATCTAAGTAGTGGGGATATAATATGATTTATTAAAGCCCAGCAAATAAAAGGGATAGGGAATGTACAGATAATGCATAGATGAAGGTTCCCAAGAAAATTATAGAATGTGTAGTAACAGTGAACAAAAGAAAGAAGACCAAGAACTTATGGATGGATGATGTGTTCTAGTATTTCCAGATGCTTAATGAATTAAATGTGGAGAGGGACTGTATAGGAAGAAAAAAATAGAACGACATAGTCCTGAAAGTCAAGACCCACAAAGGGTTGTATTGCTAATGGAAGAAGAAGACAAAGATTTTCAATAATGAATTCTACAACTTCACATACAACTACTATTAATATTTACAAAACTAATTAGTAATTATTATTCCTTACAAAACGATAGAAACAGAGGTCAATTTCAAGATTGTTTGGGGTAACTCATATTTTAGTTTTTTATATTAACACGTGCATTTGCTTGCAACATAAATGTGAATACATGTGTAGAATTCTAAGAAATGTGAAATGGCATTGTTGCCAATGAATATGAATAGTCAACAACAGTATCAAGTGACATAATTTTTAAACTTGCTATTTAAAAATATTCCAATTTTTTGTGAGTGGAATATAAGGGACACAATATAATAATATCTAAAGAGAATTATACTGTGATAATTTGATTAAAATGGAGTTAATCATTAATAAGTACTAGGGAAATCACTTTAATAATTTAAAATTAAATAAATTATATTTATAAACTTCTTCCCTAAATCTTGATATAATAATGCAAGAAGTCCTCCTTAGAATTATAGTCATTAATTTATTTTATTAGCTTCTTGCTTAGTCCATTAAATGTAAATTCAAAGAAGATATATCTTTTTGTTTGATAATTATATTTTTTGAATTTAATTTTTAGGAAGTTCAAAATGATGGCCAAACAGAACAGCAAGTTCCATCGGAAGTAGAGGATACCAAAAATGAGCCAGCAATGCAGGAAGAACAAGCTCTCAGAACAGCTCTTCAGACATTGACTAAGTGAGTTAAAAATTAATCAACACCAAGTCCAAAAAAACATGTGAAGAATAATTAAATGACCTAATCTGTGTTTTATTTGTGTATTGACTATGGAATTCCTTATTCTCAATCTGCATTTCATTATTTTCTGTTCCCCTTATCCTTATAGCCCAATCCTTTGTTTTTTAAAATTCAAATGGTTTTGGAATGAAGAGAGATTAATTTAATTTAAGGTTTTATGTTATGATATACCCTGCCCAGGTTTAGAAAATATAGGACAGGTTTAAAAGCAATTTAAACTTTGGCACCATGCAACTAATATTTTCAATACTGTGTTATGAGATTTAAAAATCTAAAATTGAGAAATAGATTGTATCAAGAAAGAAATCTCTAGATTAATTAATGAAGATATGGGACGAGTTTGAAAAAACATTTGAACTTTTGCAATTTTTTAATATTTGGAGGTTTGAATGAAGGTAGAACATGTGCCATATATTAAGGCTATTTGAACAAAAAATTTAAGAGAAAAATTGTAGACATTTTTGAGAAAATGGTCTTTACCTATATTTTTTTTTTTTGTCACAAATTCACTCAATATTGTGAGGAAATTTGTAGTATTTTAAAAAAAATTGTGCATTACATTAAAGATCTTATATTGAATAGATTTTATTCCAAAAAATCTCAGTCTTCAATAATTTAGCTGAAGAAAGTGGATCTAAAAATGAAGTCGTAGGCTTCCACGGCCAGTCATGTGGATGATCTGGGCTGTCCGGGTGACGCTGCGTCGAAGGCTGAGGTGCCATCCACATGGATTTAAAAATGTTAAACTTTTGCAATTTTCAAACTTTATGAGGTTTTACTAAAAACTGAACCTGCACCTTTCTGATTGCTGGATTAGAGAAGAAGAAGAAGAAAAAAAATGTTGTAGAAGCTTCATACAAAATATCCACAAAGATTCATTCAAAATTTTGAGTATGGCTTGATTGATCCAGGAATATTAATTTAGAGGAAAACTACATATGGTGAAGGCACTAGTGATGTTCAGAGATCAGGGAAGACAGACGGGCAGTCATTTTGAAAAATAACAAAACTTTTTTGATATCAGGGGCCCTCAAATTGTGTATTTCTGACAAAATGTCAATACTGATTTTTTTGAGTTGTCTACTCAACTCATTACTGTGTATATGAGAAAGTAAAAAGGCCATGGAAAGTAAAATTAAATGGCTTTTTGAACAGTATATGTACTGAAGTAATTTCTTTGCTATAGGTTTCTGGTGCAGAAGAGTGTTGAGCCCTGTCATCTGCGCAACCTAGTGAGCATCGGTGAGCTTGAGCGTGTTCACACAGTATTGCATTCAATGTATATGAAGGCGAAAGCTGAAGAATGTTTCCATATCTCTGAAACTGAGACTCAGATTCGCAGCCTGACATCTTCCAGAGAAATTGCTCATGCTCCCCAAGAAAATTCACAGGTAACCAATGAAAAAAATGCATTCGTATTAACCACTGCATTACTTCTGCTTTTGAAGGGATTCATTTATGCCCACTTATTATTATTATTCGTCCCTTGATCTCCCTCTTTTTTGGTCCCAATTACTAGGAGTGTTATGATCACCAAAATGCATTATTCCTTTGCGTCTCCTGTTCCTAATTTCATAATCTCCCGCATTTAGATCTGAAAACTAATTTTAATAGAAAATATTCATGCATGAATCATTTTGTAATTTTTTAAAATTCCTAATTTTTACTCTTTGATAAAACAGCTAACCAGGTTATAAATGCTGTTCAACTGCTGGGTGCAGTCTTCTCCACCAGAAATGAGGCAGCTTCTTATACAGGATTGAGAATACAGGGCGTTGTTGTTTGTGCACTACTTGTATCTTAGCTTCATTTCCATTCTTAATTTTTTTGCAATCAATTCAGTTTGTTAATAAGTAAAGTTAGAATGTCCTTGGGTTGTTTGTTGTGTTGGTTTACTACTGTATTTTCTTGTTATGTGACTGTAAATAACAATTTTTTATTAAAATTTAAATTTTTGAGAAATGTTTCATTCAGAGGTTTAATTTAAATTGCATTTGGAGTAAGCAAATTAAGTTGAAAAAAGAAATTCCCTTGCCATGCATCTTTGTATATTCAGAAAGTGAAGGGAGGGAAGAAGAGGAAGTGAAGAGAATAGACTCGAAATCAAAAAGTCGACCTTTGCATGAGTAAGGGATTCATAAAAGTCATTTGTACATTCTCAGTTATGGTGACACAAGCATTGGTGATATAAATTATTCATATCATACATTTGTAAACAGACTAAAATTATGGAAGTTACACATTGTGTTACCTACACCTATTGTTTTTCCAAACCTAACATTTTACTTTCTTGATTTAACAATAATAAAGTGAGATTATAGTGAAATTCTAGATATACTCTCTATTAGATGTCTTATTTTTACTATTTATTTAAAGATGATTTAAGTCATTGAAAATTTATAACAATTTCTGATGCATGGTTAATGGTTTTTGGAAATTTATATTTTGCTTGTGTGAGAAGGTTAATTTTCATATTTTCATATTGCATGTTTATTTGTAGGAAAATGGAGTCCCCCGAGCTGCTCACAATGCAGTGAGTGCAAGCCCAAGCTCACTCTCTCGTATAGTGCGAGGAATTGCTCCTCATCCACCTGTGCAACCGCCTAGTACCCTGCCATTGGCAGTGGCCTTGTGCAGTTTCTCTGAGTTCTCCTCTCCTCAACTAGGTTCCCCCTCACTGTCTAACAAGCCTACTCCTCAGTCAGCTCCCCTTCTGCGTGCTCATCGTCTGCGATCACCTTCACCACCTCCACCGCCTATTGCTGCTCCACTGATGGAGATGGGCTTCTCTCTTAAACACGTTCAGAAAGCCATCAATGCCACAGGTTAGTTTTGACAATTTGCCTGGATGAAAGATGTATAATAATGTTCCTTTCTTAAAAATTTTATTGCTTCTTACTTATCCTTGTACCTTCTTTTCACAGAACTCTTATTCTTAGGGTGTGATTCATTGGGAATGATTTTTCTGATTTGGGAAATATCTTAATACATATGATATTAAATTTTAAGGATACACATAATTACACGTTAAATCAGGAGAATTCTATTAACAAATTGGAAAATAGGACCAGCTAACATTCTAATTACGAGTCACAGTGTGACACCTCAAACAATAAGAAGTACATTAACATGATTAAATACATTAATACCTTATACATCTGATAAGTATTGCTGCCACCGGCAACGCTCTCACATTACTTATCCTTTCTCTTGGCTGACTGTTGCCTTCTTGGATGTTAAAATTTGCTTCTCAAAGTGGACCTCTTCAAGCAGTCCTGGAGCAAATGGGAGGCAACCCACTATTGTTTTCACCACCATATTGTCCTTCACCTACGTCAGTGGATGGTGTCATCTTTCAAGTGAGGGCACAAGTTTGAAACTACACTAACTGGTTACACAGTTATACTAAGGTGAAATTTTGTGCAAAGAAACTCTTATGAAACATTTGCTGAAATTGTACACTGATGCTTTATTAGTTATGAAGATAATTTGGAAGTTTAGGCATTTATTTTGGCTCCTCCTTTTCCTCCTCCTCCCCCTCCTTTTCCTTCTCCTCCTCCTTCTTCTTTTCCTCCTCCTCCTCTTCCTCCTTCTCCTCCTTCTTTTCCTCCTCCTCCTCTTCCTCCTTCTCCTTCTTTTCCTCCTCCTCCTCTTCCTCCTTCTCCTTCTTTTCCTCCTCCTTCTTCTTCTTTTCCTCCTCCTCCTCCTCCTCCTTCTTTTCCTCCTCCTGCTTCTTTTCCTCCTCCTCCTCCTCCTCCTCCTCCTTCTTTTCCTCTTCCTCCTCCTCCTCTTCCTCCTTCTCCTCCTTCTTTTCCTCCTCCTCCTCCTCCTCCTCCTCCTCCTCCTTTTTTCCCCCCTGCTCCTTTGGTTCTTTTTTCTCCTCCTTCTTCCTCCTCGGTGTAGGAATGATTTTTGCTTTATAAGAGAGTAATGATGCAGTATTCCTTCATAAGTTGAAATCTTCCTGCTGGCGCCATCCTCTTGTCGTTCTTTCTTTCTTTCCTTCTAGTCTATAATCGTGGTAATTGTTGTTTGTCCATTCTCTTCAAGTATTTTCTCCAATTCCTGTGGTATTCATCTGTTTACTGCTTTTAGATATTTTCTCATTTTTCCATTCCAAAATTTGTCTCTTCCTATATAAAATTTGTCTATTCCTAAAACTGCTCTTAAAAGGATTTTAAATGTTTCTTGATGTAAAAAAAATAAAATATGTACATTCCTTACACTTCTTCCTGTACCTCAGCCCTGGGCCCGAAATTAATCATATCCACATTCTAATGACGTTAGTAATGAGATTAAATAAATTTTCATAAGGAAAAGAGGAAAATAACTAAGTAAATCGCTAATACAAAGAGTAAAGCTGGAGATACTACTACGAGCATACCCATTGTTAACGTCAGGGACAGAGTGCTAGGTACCCTAGGGATTAGGTAAATGGGATTACCTTTCAAATTGCCAAGAAAGGGAAGTTGAGTGCTGAATAATTCTATTTATTACTGTGAAAATCATTTCAAGTATAATGAACTGCAGTCGTGATAAAAACAACGATTTTTGTGAAGACATAAAAATAAAACAACTATCTGGGAATTTATTTATTAATCTATTTAAAAAAAACAACTTAAAATTAATGGTTTATGTAATACATATGTTGTAAATGAATTACTACATTTTCAGTATAGTATAAAACTTTATTCAAAGAATTTTTTTAAACATTAGTCTTGTGTCATCAAAAAGTCCACATAGAGTTACTATATTTACACTGTACAGAGTTTACTTGAAACCTATTCTGTGTGTAGTGCAGGAGAAAGTTTCCAATGTTTTAGAATGTTTTGCTAAGAATTATTTGAAGTCATTCTGCCTTTGTAGTTGGATGTAATATGGAATCAATTGTTGGCAAACACCACGTCATGAAACAAAATCTCTGCAATGATTTTAATTTATTTTGATGTTGTGTTTCACTTACATCGATGCTATTTGTTCAAGAGTTCCTTTACCGGCCCATTCAAAAATATTTGTTTGAATTGCCTGCCATAATCATGGTGGATGCCAGGAATACTCATAGGTAGTTTTGGGTAGGATGATATATAGTTAGGAAGGGTGGTATACATGTGTTTTTTACCATCTTTGCTGCTTATTATTATCAACATTGTCAGCATTGAGTTTCTTGATAAACAAAGGAGATTTAAAATATAGACCCCTAAGTGACGAGGGTTAATCTGCAAATCTAAGACTACCCCGTTTTTTGTTTTTTTTTTATATATATAAAATATTTAGAAAATGAAAACCTCTTTATATTTGGGTAAATACAGTATTTTTGTTCAAAAATAGTTATTTATTTTGTAAAAGTGATGTGATGTGAAAAAGCAACACTAGGGATATCGTCACTGATAATACATAATCTTCAATGTGAAAAAAACAAAATTTTACAAGAGGTAGAAACACTTTTTGATGTTAATAATACACAGCTGTCTAAATTTAGACATCGGTACTTTCTATATAATATTATTAGATATTTATTGTAATATTTTTCTGAAATCATCTTACAATAACCTCCCTTGTGACTCTTACATACGAGATATTAACTCTAATCGTCAATAACTTGAAAAGGTCACATAAGATGTTTTTGATTTTATATTTTAAGACCACAATTTCTAGCCATGTAATAATAATAATAATAATAATAATAATAATAATAATAATAATAATAATAATAATA